CTATGGCTAGAAATTGGCCTCAATGATTTGGGATCGAGGGGGATTATCCCTCTTTATCCTGCCTCATCTCGTGTAGGCCTGGACAGCCTTCGTAGGTGGGCCCCATCCGTCGTCTACCCCGACCGCAAATGCGGCCGGTGTAGGCGCTTTGTGGGACCTCCTTTTGTCCTGGCTGGGCCCCGCCGGCTAGGGCCCTTTCTTCTGGCGCTCTTCTTGCTTCGCCGGCTCGTCTGTGTAAACCCCGGGGGTAGTGTCATGTTTATGTGTGGTATGGTTGGGTAGGGTAGTGCGGCTATGCAGCCTGGGATGCGCTTTGCTAAGGTGGCCCTTAGGCTAGCGCGGGAGGGGAGGGGTAAGGAGGGTATGGGGGGTGTGTATGTGTGTGTGTGTCGTTGTCTTCGTTTCTTGATCCTGGCTGTATCTGAAACAGAAAATGTTAGCGGGCAGGGGGAATAATCGAGTGATCACTCGAGATACGAGATATTGGTTGTTTTCATCCCAGCGGTGCACCAATATGTTTGTATTAATCATATATTACTTATAAGCGTAGCTAAAAAAAAAAAAGCTCGCGCACTTCAAAACCTAACCACTTTCGTTTTATTCTAAAAAAAAAGGTTACGCAGTCGGTGACTATTTGCAGTATGCACTAACATTTTGGGGTGCAACCGTAGGGTAATAATCACTCGAGTGGTGGGAGTAAACATCTCGAGATATCTCGAGTGATCTCAATAATCGAGTACCACTCGATTTTTCACTCGAAATCTCCCATCACTAGTTGCATCAATAAAACTTGTATTAAAATGAAGAAGTGTCATTTGATCCAAATACTGTAAAAATTAACGCCTAATATGTAATTAATCAAAATCTAAACTTTAGCAAGTGTTTTATATTTAATGTAACTAACTTTTAGTTCAGAATATTCTGAACATTGAACCTGGAGGAGCACATGCAAAATCGCGTAATTAAAATAATATCCATGGCCATGGCAATGTCAGTAATTAGATGGATCTTCTTGTCCTTTATATCCATTAGTGGGGCGTGGGGCTAAGGTTGCGCAATGCGCATAGCGGGGGATCAGTGCCGCAGGCACCAGAAAAAAATCAACTGTCTTTTCTAGTACTGCATTACATGGCTATAATATAATTCGAGTGTTGTGTGAAGTATATAGATTATATTTTTACATTATTTTTCTTCTCGAAAGAAACCGTAATAATATTTATGCAAAAACTGGTGACCTTTAAGTTACATAGCTGCCTTCTTTTCCTCCAAATATATTGATCATAACCCGTTTCACCGGATGTTCTGAGATCGGTCGCTATTCTATTGAATACATTTTTAGATCAGGATCGGCGATTCTTCCATTTCAGAATCGTAAAATTTCTAACCTAAATATTGTAACAAATGGCTGAAGGGGCTGAAGTATGAGCAAGTCAATCCCAAGAAATTGTATTATTAGGTTTAACAGATTCAGAAATTCTTGTATCAAATATAATTTAGCACAAGAAGGTAAAAAATTTAATGGTCTAACTCTTTGTCGCCTATTTTATTTTTAATTAAATTTTAATCTTTAGAAGTAATATTTTTAACAGATGAAGACATCTAGGACAAACTAATCAGATTTAAGATGTTATGTTTATTTACAGCTTATTTTTAAATTAAACGCAGTTTCAAAAACATGTTCTTTTGACATTTGTTATGATTCAAACAATATGATCCGGATCAAAGATCAGTGATTCAATGAAACGATGAAAAGAAGACGGTTATAACATTATAATAATGGATGGAAGAGCATAATTCCTATTTATATAGTGGTCCATCTGTATTTAATATCCATGATCATGGAGGAAAAAAATCTCGAAAGCTAATGTGCTACCACGGATCGTTAGTATTCCGCACTTCTCAAGAATCTGGTAATATTTGACAAAAGCCTGTTAAATTCTGTCAAACGTGCTTAAACAAATTAAAAATGAATAGAAAAATGTACATGTAAAGCATATTATGGAGTAAATTTAATATATAAGGAAACATAACGGTATGAATTATTATAAATAGTGATACTGCCCAAGTTCTTAGAAAGTTCAAAAAAATCAATAGAGTATAGCAAATCTATTATATAATTTGGCTCTAACCTAACTTCGCTTCAGGTGTGTCAAATTTTTTGTTAGAGAAAAATGGGAAATACAATAACTGTTGCTGAAGTAACCGCCTGTCAGATTCTTCATCCAAATGATCCAATCTGTATTCCCAAACACTCTGTGCACAATTATGAGAAGAGAATCCCGGAAGAGTGCCCCATGCACAAAAAGAGGCGTACTGAATTGGTGTGCCCTGCGGAGCAATGTCCTATCTCTAAAGGGGATCGACGTGGGATTAATCCTCTAAATATGGTACGTGTAGAAGAATTGCATTCTTTTCAGAAATCAAGTTACAATTTTCTATTTGGAACACTTGTAAAACCCAATTTTTTAATTTCAGCTGCGAAGATGAATTTAAGAAGTGCAGAGTAATTGGATTTTTATTATTTGTTACAGTTACAATAAATATAACAAAATGTTTTTCTTAAATATCTTTTAATTTAATTTTGTTTTATGTAGTATTTTTATAGTGTCAAACATATAATCAGCAGCAAATTGGATCGAGTCCGTTATTTCCAATGAAGTATTCATTTGATAAATCAAATTTCAAAAAATTTCTAGTTTCATTTATATTACATATTTTAGTAGGAGAAAAGAATATGTTTAAATATCGATTCAGTGTTGAACTAAATTTCTACAGCTTTAACTAGATTTTTTTAGTTATAAAACTATAATTTTTCTGCAGATGGAGCCAGCTAATCAAAATCCTTCACCAGGTCAACCTTTTTCTTTGTCCAAAGAGAGACAAGTCTCCTGCATTCCAAAAGCTGTTTTCAAGGAGGGCGAAAATCCATTTTGGGTATATCCCAGTCCACAGGTAAATGTTAAAAACAATTTTTTGATGTATAGGGGTGCCACACTAATAAGTGTGGCAACATATAATAACCCTATTATTATTTAAGACCAGAAAAAATATTCAAATGAAAGTTGGAGGGGATCAGAAATACAGTATTTTAAAATTATTTTCAAATATACAGGATAATAGTGTCATAAAGTTAGATATTTAAATAGTACACCCTATATAGTTTTATGTTTGATTTCGCTATAAAATTCTCTGAATGATAGTGTAATTAGGTAAATTCGGTTATGACGAGAAAGTTTGTAATGATTTAAAAATATTTGACAGCACATCATTCAATATTTTATGCAGTGGAGGCTGGTAAAAATTAATGTGGTCTTATTTTGATGATGGAGCATGGAACCCATACTGTTTTTTCTATACCTACACATAGAACGTTCATAAGGAAAAAAAATTTGAATGGAATTTGTGAAATACAGTTAAAAAAATCTGCTACTTTGCAAACGCCTGGAAATCAGCTGATGTTGTAATTGTTATCCATAAAAAAGGTGACAAATTCATTCATCTGGCATAGTCTGGTATAGTCTTTCCGAAGTCAGTTGAACATGTAAAAAACGTCTGGCCATAAAATTTAATGAGTTCCGTAGGCGTCCCTAAAAAAGTTTTCTGATAAAAGATAAAAAAAAATCGATTTACCAATAATCGTTTATATAAAAGTTGTCAAATAAAGCAATTATTAATTATTTAAGAAAATTGAAATTTAAAAACTATAATACAAACCTGATTTATTGTCATTTTCGACCACTCTGTTGTAAAAACATAAATTGTTTGTTTACTACGTATACTGGGTATGTCTTTTTTGTGGTTGCACGGTTTTGAGTACGCTTTTTGATTTGTGGGTGTTTTGTGCAATAAAAATGGCACGTTTATGAAAACAATGAACTAGTGGACATAATATACTTACGGGGAGTGTCAACAAAATGCAGCCGCAGCATGTCGCTTGTAAACGGAGAGGTTTCCTTTATAAAATCATCCGGCTCCACAGATGTTTGTAAATTTAGTTATAAAACTCCGCGACACAGGGTATTTAAAGAAACAACGAGGAGGTCACGCTGGAAGATCTCCTCCACGCGAAAGGGTGGAGATCGAGGAAGAAATTTTAGAAATTGTCGAAAATGACCTAACAACGAGCACTAGATCCATGTTATAAACAAAAAATTTATCTTCCAATGTAACCTCGTTGTTCCTTTATACCCTGTGCGGAGTCTTATAACTAGTTAATACCTATTATGTCCACTAGTTCATTGTTTTCATAAACATGTGCCATTTTTATTGCACAAAACACCCACAAATGAAAAATAATATCACGCACTACTGTGCGAATTATTTAGCACTGTTAAATCGAAAAGCGTACTCCAAACCGTGGAACTACAAAAAAAAGACATACCCAGTATCAGTAGTAAACAAACAATTTATGTTTTTAACAACATAGTGGTCAAAAATGACAATAAATCAGGTTTATATTAAAAAGTTTTAAAATTTCAATTGTTTTAAATAATTGTTAATAATTGGTTTATTTGACAACTTTTATATAAACGATTTTTGGAAAATCGACTTTTTATTATGAGTTCTACCAGCTGTTAAAATAAATGATTCAACTTTGAGAACACCCTGTATGTTCATTTGCCCAACAATATATTTTAATTATTTATGTTCTCAAACAATTTTATTATATTGATAAATTTCGTTTTGTTCCGTTTCAAAAGGTCTCCAAAATGCGATGTTGTAATAATATTGTTTTTCCCTTTCGCAATTGTAATATCAATGATTAATAGAAGGTGCCTATAATAAATTAAAATTACCTGAATTACACCAAATTCCGCATTGCTTCACTGCACTGCTGGGCAATTTGTTGACCACTTGTCAACGGCTGAGATTTATTGCCCAGTGGCTCAATGCAACTGCAACTTCAACTGGGCGTATATATTTCTACCACCTCCACGTATGGCTAAATAAATAATGGAACAAGTTTTTCAAATATTTCAATGCCGAGTTGCGTCAGCGACCGAACCTGGTACATACTGTCATCCTCTTGATTCTTCAATTGATATCGGAAAGACTATATCTCTGGCCGAATATAGTTATTTCGAATGATTATTATTCGAATGAATTTATTAACTATTACCAATGTGCAAAAAAAGTAATAAAAAGTGCATTAATTAGAAAGTTTTAAATAAATATGATCTGGAGTTCTTCTATTAGGATATCTTTCTCGGTACTCCCCGACACTCNGAAGGTAATAAATTGGTACATTTTTTCCGTTTTAAAAATAAACAATATTTTATTGAAATCGGTCAGAAATAAAATTATCTATGTACCACGGGAATTAATGAGCCTTAATAACCTCAGGCAATTGCTGTCCCTCGGGCGGGACGCCCTCGGGACGCAAACTTTGCCATCGGTAATTAAGGCCCTTATAATTCCCTAGATACATAAATAACTATAAGAAAATTGAAATTTAAAAACTATAATACAAACCTGATTTATTGTCATTTTCGACCACTCTGTTGCAAAAACATAAATTGTTTGTTTACTACGTATACTGGGTATGTCTTTTTTGTGGTTGTACGGTTTTGAGTACGCTTTTTGATTTGTGGGTGTTTTGTGCAATAAAAATGGCACGTTTATGAAAACAATGAACTAGTGGACATAATATACTTACGGGGAGTGTCAACAAAATGCAGCCGCAGCATGTCGCTTGTAAACGGAGAGGTTTCCTTTATAAAATCATCCGGCTCCACAGATGTTTGTAAATTTAGTTATAAAACTCCGCGACACAGGGTATTTAAAGAAACAACGAGGAGGTCACGCTGGAAGATCTCCTCCACGCGAAAGGGTGGAGATCGAGGAAGAAATTTTAGAAATTGTCGAAAATGACCTAACAACGAGCACTAGATCCATGTTATAAACAAAAAATTTATCTTCCAATGTAACCTCGTTGTTCCTTTATACCCTGTGCGGAGTCTTATAACTAGTTAATACCTATTATGTCCACTAGTTCATTGTTTTCATAAACATGTGCCATTTTTATTGCACAAAACACCCACAAATGAAAAATAATATCACGCACTGTTGTGCAAATTAGTTAGCACTGTTAAATCGAAAAGCGTACTCAAAACCGTGGAACTACAAAAAAAAAGACATACCCAGTATCCGTAGTAAACAAACAATTTATGTTTTTAACAACATAGTGGTCAAAAATGACAATAAATCAGGTTTATATTAAAAAGTTTTAAAATTTCAATTGTTTTAAATAATTGTTAATAATTGGTTTATTTGACAACTTTTATATAAACGATTTTTGGAAAATCGACTTTTTATTATGAGTTCTACCAGCTGTTAAAATAAATGATTCAACTTTGAGAACACCCTGTATGTTCATTTGCCCAACAATATATTTTAATTATTTATGTTCTCAAACAATTTTATTATATTGATAAATTTCGTTTTGTTCCGTTTCAAAAGGTCTCCAAAATGCGATGTTGTAATAATATTGTTTTTCCCTTTCGCAATTGTAATATCAATGATTAATAGAAGGTGCCTATAATAAATTAAAATTACCTGAATTACACCAAATTCCGCATTGCTTCACTGCACTGCTGGGCAATTTGTTGACCACTTGTCAACGGCTGAGATTTATTGCCCAGTGGCTCAATGCAATTGCAACTTCAACTGGGCGTATATATTTCTACCACCTCCACGTATGGCTAAATAAATAATGGAACAAGTTTTTCAAATATTTCAATGCCGAGTTGCGTCAGCGACCGAACCTGGTACATACTGTCATCCTCTTGATTCTTCAATTGATATCGGAAAGACTATATCTCTGGCCGAATATAGTTATTTCGAATGATTATTATTCGAATGAATTTATTAACTATTACCAATGTGGAAAAAAGTAATAAAAAGTGCATTAATTAGAAAGTTTTAAATAAATATGATCTGGAGTTCTTCTATTAGGATATCTTTCTCGGTACTCCCCGACACTCGCTTGTTAGAAACTTCCGCTACAATGTTTTAACAAATTAAATCAAATCTGTTATTTACGAAAATGTATAAATATTAGCCGTAATTAATAAATTACGCAATTTCAAAATTAAAACATTTTAGAAGACATCTATTTGATAAAAGTGACACTGACATATCCATGTGGCAGTTTTTCTTATCCATGACAACTGGTAATTTGATTATTTCTAATGCATAAGACGCAAAGATTGACTGCAAAAATTGCCTGTTTTTTCACAATTTGCAGAGAACTAAAGAAAATAGATAAAAATGTTTTTGGTCTCAAATTACTCGTCGTAAAAAATTAAATTGAGCATAGCTTTTAGTGTTTTGAAAATTTGTAAAAATCATCCCTATTTAGGGGTTGAGAAGACGCTCAAAATGAAAAATTGAATATTACCAATAAATATAAAAACTATTAGGATGTGAATTTTTCTATCGAATGATTCTTGATACAAAGAAAGATTTATTCTCATGACTGAAATAAGCATGTTGAATTAGAATATCCACATTTAAGCACGCTCAGGGGGTGGAATCATCCCCAAAAATAGAGAATATCAGAAATAATTGTAAAAATTCCAAAAAAAATATATTAAGGTAATTCACATGCTAATAGTTTTTATATCAATTGGTAATATTCAAATTCTTCATTTTTGCCATTTTTTCAACCCCTAGGTAGGGGTGATTTTTAAAATTTTCAAAATACTAAAAGCTATGCTCATTTCAGTTTTTTATGACAAGTAATTTACGACCAAAAACGTATTTTTATGTATTTTTTTTAATTCTCTGCGAATTATGATAAAACGGGCGAAAATCACAGGTTTTTTGCAGTCACTTTATTTGCCAGGATGCTTGTGTAGGACATTTGTTGAATTTTTTTGCGACTAAACGGTGTGGGTTATCCAAAATTTGAAAGATACAGAATTTATTTAAAAAGCTTTTAGCTTTCACCAGAAAATTGTGACAGTCAGATAACAAAGAAAAAAAATATGAATATTTTTAAACCGAGGTATCCAGTTTAACGCATTTGTGCAAGTCGGTAATTAACATTAATTGCATCAGGAAAAGCCTTTTACCAATATATTTTCACATGTAAATCGTTCAGTGCTTTTCTATTTTATAACTGATTATTAATATTTTTTTCAAAAACTGTTTCTTATTTTGTTTCTTGTTTGAAAATTTCTTGATATTTTGCCTTTACCTATACAGATACAATCTGTTTTTATCCAATTTTCTTGTTGTCTCAGATGTTTTGGAATGCGATGCTCAGGAAGGGTTGGAAATGGAAAGATGAGGATATTAGTCAGAAAGATATGAACGATATCATTAAAATTCACAATGCTAACAACGAACAAGCTTGGCAGGAGGTACTCAAGTGGGAAGCGTTACATGCCCACGAATGTAGAGATCCTAGGTAAAGTTTATTACCCATTTAACTCTTATTTTGGATGAATACATTCAGAAATGGAATCGCTTTTAATATGTGTCAATATAGATATTACATTTTTTGCAGTTGTTACCAAATAAAATCAGACAATTCAGTGATATTTAATAATTTTTGTCAAAATATCTTGTTTCAGATTGAAAAGTTTTGGAGGTAAGGCATCAGAATACAGTCCCAGGGCCAGGATTAGACAATTGCTGGGTTACGAGCTACCTTTCGATAGGCACGATTGGATCATAGACAGATGCGGAAAGGAAGTGAGATATGTTATCGATTATTATGATGGCGGTTCGATAGATGATAAATATAAGTTCGCCCTGTTAGATGTTAGGCCTGCAATGGACAGGTACCTTACTTTTCTTACTTACTGAGAAATCAATATATTATGAATTAAATCTTCTCTTTTCAGTTTCGAAAATATTTGGGACAGAATGAAAGTATGTTGGTGGCGATGGTTCTACAGCGACGAATAAAACGCATGGCCCTGATGTAGCTTGGAAAAAGAAGAAAGTAAAAGTCTGTTGGAGAGGAATTTCGTGTTTGTCCGTTAATTGAACTTTGAACTTGGTTTTCAAGGGTAGCTGAAATACCTAATGTCAGATTGTCCAGCATTAATGTAAATAAATTAAGGATAATGTTGTAAATGTTGTGTTTTTCTTATTTCCACTTGTCTTCTAATCTGTTTATCTTTTCTATCTCTTTAAATGTTTCTACCTGTATGAGCATGATGAGTGTTTGATGTCGTTTCACATCTCACCAAATATTTTTAACTGCACACAACCCCGTTTAATGTTCGGGCTAATCGTCAATGATGGCTGGTGAAAGTTAAAGCGGCCTATACCCGTTTTAGAAGTTGATTTCCAGACCCCCAATGGAACTTTCTTGAAAAAATATTTCAAATGTAATTTGTAAAACGAAAAATTGAAACGGACAATTGACCATGAGATCTTGACATCGATTGTACATAAGATATAAATAAGAATTCTTTTCATGATCAACTGAGAAATACAGATGTTTTCTTTTTTTTCTCAATATCAATTAAAAATTTAGTACTAAAACTAAGTAACTATGATGTTATTTTGTGTATAATAAAAAAGTACCAGTAAATTTCACCTAAATTTGTTATGATATTCTTTATGGAAAGTGTATATTTCATATCAATTTAAAACCACTTTAATTTTTACCAGTTGCTACTGCTAATCGTGTATGAAAACAATTTTTAATGTGCATATAATTTGACAATCAATATATTATGGGACTTATTACGGGTAACAAATTGACAGGAATTTATTTTTAAATAGTTAATCAAGAATTTCTTCTGTTTAATTTCTATGTGCCTACATTAATCATCTGATTATATGGTTTTTCAATTATTTTTTAGAAATATAATTAATATTTATCTACAAAGTTCTTTGTAATGTGGAAAATGCGGGTTTACACATTTAGAATCTTTTTTTCTGATAAAAATAAGTACTTACGTTAACTTTGATAAAAGAATTTTAGGCAAACATCCACACCGTTGAAAAACATTCCAATCAGCATTAATTTGCTTTGCTATTCCACCAATTATTCTTACCGCGCACGACACATTCGAATTCATTTGGAGCCGCAGGTTGGTTTCCTCGATGCAATCATCGATAACGAAGCGCCCTATCTTACCTTCTGTCACGCACACCCTTCTTCGCACGAAATCTGACAGTCGATTTTTCTAGCGGACCAAATGTAATTTAAACCTTCTATCGGACCAAGAACTTGTCTAGCAGTATTTGAAAAGTATTTTTGTATATGTATTTACGCAAAGAGTGCAGAATGTGTTGTGCTACTAACGTACTGCCTGTGTAACTGTTGATAATTTATGTTTTTGACGTTTCGCCATTATTGCAAACCACTTGTTAACAACTCGTGTTTTAATTATTTAAACTGCTTTTAACAGCCCAGTAATTCACCGCAGTGTTGTAAAAGGCTTTCCCTAACATCCTCTGTGTTTGTCTCGCCCTCCCTTTAAGCTTTCCCAGCTTTAGCAGGCCAATAATGATCGGGTAAGTAATAAAACAATTTTGTAAACATTGCTGTTTTACGTTTAAAAAACGTATTTTGTTTGGTCAAATTTATGTGGTACGTCTTAATTTATGAAAATATATATTTAATTGCCTCACACCAGCAAAGTTACATACATAAACTGTTTATATTTAGAGAATGGAATGTTTTTTTGGCTATACTTATGAGATGTGTAAATTGTCCATATAGGTACAATTTCATCCAATTTTGTTTTAGTGCGGTATTTAACCGGATTTCCACTTACAATAATATGAAACTATTCTCTTTAATATAAAAATTTACCAATCTTTTGCATAAATAATTATGCTACATGCTACATACACTAATTTATCTTACCAATTTTTGATTAACTATTTTGTGTTATTCCAGACTAGATTTGTTAATAAATTGAATTGTTTGTTTATGTTGATAAACTAGGTATCTGTAATGTCGCCTGTCTGTACAAATTGTTCTTGTTTGAAGCTAATATGACTCCTTTAGTTATTGTTTGTTCCTCTCTTTAATAAATCTGTAGTACAAGTGTTGCTCTTTCAAATAATGGGTACTGTTTATTTATATTGTATTTTTTAACATAACCAAATTTCTGTAGGTAGGTACGTACTTAGGTATATTAAAATAATAATAATTATGATAATAGGTCTACAAGATAAGCATGCTTTTGTTTGAAAATGTAAAATATTTGTATTTTGTCCCACCACCGTGTTCTCCATGTTTTTTTTGTTAAGAAAATTAATAAAAAAAATCATTCATCATAAGGAAATGTTATTTTTTAAACTAACGAACACATTGTCTTTTTATTCTTTTTCTATCATGAAATTGTATACAGGGTGATTCAGATTTAATTTGGAGAACTTCTGGAATCGATAGAACAGGTTAAAATAATGTCCATTCATGATATAAACTTATTTCCTAAATCGCATCGTCTGGGAGATAGAGGGCGTTGAAATACAAATTTTTTTCCCCGTTTTTCCCTCATAACCTTTGAACCACTCATCCGAATGAGGTAAAATTGGGAACACAAACACTCCTTATGACCTTACATAAGCTTCTTAAATTTGGACCACCTACCCTTAGAAGTTAATTTTGTGTGCTACCCCCCTCCTACATTATTTCAAAACTTCAAAAAAATTAATTTCAATAGAATAGCTGCCACTTTTGTCTCATTAATTTTGGATTTTTTGTCTCTTATTTTTTTTTTCGATATTTGGCCTTGTTTCTGAGATATTCAATGAAATCCGCGATAGTGTAGCGCCCCAGCCACGTAAATTTCATTTAACGTTATAGCAACCGGTGAAAAACAAAACTCATAATGATTTGTATAAACTGACGTTTGTGAAATTCACCGTTAAAAGTATTATTTCAAAAGTGCTAAGAAAAGGAAAAAAATCCTAGTTCAACGCCCTCTATCTCCGCAACGATGCTATTCAGGAAATACGTTTATATCATGAATGAACATTATTTTAACCTGTTCTACCGATTCCTGAAATTATCCAGATTAAACCCGAATCACCTTGTATGTTTGATATATCTTTACCTCGATTTTAACGTTTTTGCGAAAGCTCTTATTTACTTAAAGCTGTTTAGCTGTTACTACTCTTATAGGCATCTATATTATCAGATTATGTCACTGATTTTTTATATTTATTTTAAAGAATTTACTTAATATATGTAAGTGGTGTGTGGCGTCTGCATAAAATTTGTTAGGAGGGGAAAGGGTAAGTTAAGTAGAAGCTATAAAAACTGCATTTATTTTATTCGACAGCAAAAAATGTGTCAGAAAGGGAGTGAGGGTCTATATGAGCTATAAGAGGGTCTATATAAGCTGTAATAACTATTAAAAAACCTAATAAAAATGTTCCTGATTTGACATGTTTATGCAGTGGGTGCAAAAGCCAAACGCTCCTTCCTGACTCCATCAGAACCGGATTAACCTATGGTGAGGCCTGGGGCTACAAGCTCTACGGAGGCCTTTAAAAAATATATATAAAACTTCAAAACCTCAAGCAGTCAGCGACTTGCCGATATACGAGTAAAATTTCAAAACTTAACCTTTCTGGTCCCATTTTGCCAGATCTTGTCGAGGCCCCCAATCTGCTGAGTCCCGGGGTTATAACTCCCGTAATACCCCCCCTCCCCCTTAAAGCCGGGCCAGGCCACCACCACGTGGGCCTCATGAGAAGTGTAATCATAGGCGCGGAACTTCAAAATTGGTACGGGTGCTTAATGTTCAGGTATCAGAAATTCAGAAATTAAAGATAAAGAGGTTTTCTAAAACTATGATCTGGGATCAGAGAGGTCACTAGTAACTGTTTCTGGATTTAAAAGATATCTAATGGGTGACTGACTACCTGACATATACAGGGTGATTCATTAACAATGGGAAAGTCGAAAGCTGAAGATACTACACGTGAAATGGTGACCATTGGCGCAAACATGCCTTATCCGAAAGTTGATAGTTTCGGAAATACAGGGTGTTGAAAGTCAAAATTTTAAATCGTTTTTTTTGCGATTATTCTGAAAATATGTAGGTTAGGAACTTGAAAATTTGTGAAACTATATTTTTTTAGGCGACGAATAAGATGCGTGTTGTAATTTCAGCATTGCTCATAGAGGGCGCCACTTACGACCAATTTTACCGAAAATTTAGTTAATAACTTTTTACCCTGTATATTTAACATGAAACTTGATTCAAAACCTGAAAGAGCTATCATTTTTCCATTAATTATGTACTCTTGTTTCATTTCGGTATCTCGATCCGTTTTCGAGAAAAATCGATTTAACGAACACTATGTTTTGATAATATGAGAAATTAAAAGCGAAACAAACCAAGTGTTTCTTCGTGTTATTACAACAATTAACAATAAAACAAATAAAATACGTAATTATGATTTAAAGTAATTGTTCGAAGAATCCACCGTTGACACTGATACACTTTACACGTTTTCTGAGAGATCTTCGAGTTTGAAACAACATATTGGGATTGCGTCTGACTTCGTTGGCAGCGATTTGTATTCTTTGCCACAACTCTTCACCCGAGCCAATAGATTCTTTGTAAACTATATCTTTCATTCGAGACCAAATAGAAAAATCAAGAGGATTGAAGTCCGGACTTCTAGATGGCCTAGAAAAATAATTACATAACCAATCCAGTGATTTGGAAAAACTGCTTCTAAATATGCACGCACTGGCCAAGAAAAATGCGGTGGAGCTCCGTCGTGAATGAACCACATGTCTCTTCTTAAATAAAGTGGAACTTCTTCAAGCCGTGGAAGCATTTTTACTTGGCCACCCAGAAGTCCGGACTTCAATCCTCCTCATTTTTCTATTTGGATAAATCTATTGGTTTGTGTGAAGAGTTGTGGCAAATAATACAAATTGCTGCCAATGAAGTCAAACGCAATCCCAATATGGTGTTTCAAACTCGAAGATCTATCAGAAAACGTTGTGTAAAGTGTGTAAATGTCAACGGTGGATTCTTCGAACACTGACTTTAAGTGGTTGTTATGAATTTCATTTGTTTTATTGTTAATTGTTGTAATAACACGAAGAAACATTTGGTTTGTTTCGCTTTTAATTTCTCGTATTA